CCCACTGAGTGCTGGGGGTGATGGATGTGTCCCCCCAGAGCCCCAGTGGGGCTGCCCAGCGCTCGATTGCTGCTGGGCAGCACTTGTGGTTTGTAAGCTGGATATCCTGTCTTCTTGCCAATCATTAACCTGTTCTTCCAGGGCAAATGCAGCTGGGTGAGAGTGCCAGGGCAGCACGTAGGCAACAATTAAATCCCTGGCAAGATGCAAGCAGAGCACGTTACAGCAATTGCTGGCACTCCTGCTCTCGGCAATGCCAGTGTGCTTCCTGCTGCAAACAGAGGGAAGGGAGTTAATGGGTGACCACAGCAGGGCAGCCAGCGTGTCCTTTGCAAGGGTCATGTTTGGGAATTTCCTTTTCCTGTGGTTTCAGGTGTGTTTACTATGTGCAGTGCTCTCCATTGACAGTTTTGGGGCCACATGTGGGGTAGTCTCCAAGTTCTCTTCACCAGCTCATTCCTTGACTTCTTTGTTACTTATGTGTTAGCTCCCCTATTTTTAGAAGATTAAGAAACCACTGCAACAGTAGTAATCCTGGAGCTGTTCTTGTCCAGAAGGATGCAGAAGTGGCTGAACTCACACAGGGAGCACGGAGCCCTCAGTGTAGGTGTCACAGGGGTAGCTCATGGCAGCTGCTCTGCTGATCCCCTGCTCTGACAGGAATGGCTTGGTGAGGAGATGACCTGGGAAGATGGCCCCATTTCCACTTGGCAGTAGGTAAGAGGGGGAAAATGATTCAAGCTTGACCAGAGTGCTGGTGGGAACATGCCTGCTGTCATAGGAAGTTCCTCCTTGGCTCAGATGCAGGGCCTGTTTCTTCTCCTCTCACTGCACTGCAGGCCTCAGGCCCTGAGCTCACATTTAGATGTCTAAATTACAGCCGATGAGGACACCCTTCCCAGCCAGAATCTGCCAGGATCTTTGTGTAGGTCCTGGCCAAGGGCTGATCTCCCTGTTTCCCATTGTAGTCTGGAGATTGGCACTGAAGAGGGTGATTTACTCATCCCTCCAAACTGCCCTCTGGGGGACTCTTTTCTCTTGGCCAGAAAGGTATTTTGGGGGATCTTCTTTTGGCCAGGCTGAAGGTCTCCTTGTGAATCCTATTCCTCAGAGCCTGCAGACAGCACATTCCCCGTGGCTCATCCCTCCACTGGCACTACAGGAGATAATTAGTGCGTGGCTAAGTCATATGTGCTGAGGGTCAGGCAAGACAATGAGGCACATTTTCCCCTGGAGTAAAGAGATGTCAACAGAGTTGCACTGCAGCGAAATGATGGGATCTGTCAGTGACCCTGGCCCTTTCACTGAGCAAACAGCCCGGGGCAGAGCCCTCCTCCAGAAGAATGGCATGGTCTGGCAGCCAGGCACCCTTGTGAACGCACACATGGGGCTCTCCCAGGGCTGCTGTCCCGAGGAGCCTTCATCCCACACCTCTGGGCCCACAGTAACTCCTTGGAGGCCACTGCTTGGTGTGGCTGTGAAATCAGCCCTTGGGAGAACAAAGTACCTGGGGACAGCAGCAGGAGGAACACAGCTTGGAAAAGATGATTTCCAATAGAGTTTTGGGGTATTTCAGGAGCACTTGGAGATAGTAAAATAGATCAGAACCAGAGTGGTCACCCTTGGTACACACAGATCAGGTGAGGACTTGTCCATCTGACATCCTTAAGCTCAGTTCTTCCAATGCACAGGATTATCCATGTTAATTAAAGGCCCATGGTTAATACTGTGAGGCAAAATATCTCTCTGGCTGTTTCCTGTTTCAGTGCTTCTTAAAATGGGGAAATTCTCTTTGCATTTATGCTCCACATGAAAGGGGATCCAGATCTCCAACCTTCATCTCCTTTCCCCTGAGTCTGTCACAGACATTATACAGCAGTGTGGAGACCAAGAGGGACCACACCATTGGCCTGGGCTATGAAAAGCAAGAAAAAAAAATCTTGCTTTTTCAAGGGCATCTTCCAGTACAGAATAATTTCAACCAATTGTGATGGCAAAAATAAGCTCTTTTGACAGTACAAGTCTTGTGCATTAAAACAAAGTAATCCCCTTTGGTTTCACCTTGATGTTGCTATGCTCCAAATGCCAACATCACTCTTTATTCTGCTCACATTCCTCTCCAGTTTCAGGTAAAAGACCAAATGTCTCTCACCCTCTTGCTGGAGCTGAGTCTGTCAAGTGTGGCTCCTTTTGTGCCACTCCCTAACACATCTTTGGGACTTACACCCCCTTATCTGTAAAAAATCACATACCTAGGTGATATTCTAATGCAGAAATGGATTTTTCCAGTTGCTCCACCTGGTGAAATGTGCTGTAGACTGAGATTGCCATGCAGCCAATGACCATTAGAACATCTGTGCTCTGGCAGCTGAAGGCAGCGTGTCCATTGATGCTCTCAGTTCTGCCCTGGCAGAGAGCCCCAGCATGCTGATGTGCCAGGCTGGTGTTTTCTGTGGACTCTGAGTTAGAGCCTTGCTCTTCCAAGCTGCTTTCAGCATGTGCTGCCTGCACTGCAGCCTGCTATGTGAAACAAATGGTGTATTCTGGCAGAGAGGGTTGAGACAGCTGGGAGAAAGTAATGGCTGGGCTGGGAGCAGACTTGGAGCTGCATTCTGGAGCCATCTCACTCTTTTGATGAGCATTTCCACACTTTCCTCTATGGAGGGAGTGGGGAACATGCTCCTGAACAAGGTGCTGCAGCCCAGCAGAGCTCAGGCACCCTTTGTGCCTCCCAGCAAGGTGCAGGAAGCAACAGGCACAGGGCAGCAACAGGCACTGGGTGCCCTTAAATGTCCTTAAATGCCTCTCTCTGGTGCATTAACTGGCTCCAGAGCAGCACAGAGTGAGGGCCACCATGCCCAGGGCTGTCACAGGCTGTGCTCAGAGACTTGGGAACACTCAGAGAAGTGTGTTGTGCTGGGAGTGAAGGCAGAATCACCCCTCTTATTTAGGCTCCCATGTTGGATTGTGTTGCACAAATGGATTGGGGGAGACCTACAGTCAGGGATTCAAGAGATCTTTGCATACTGTCAACATCCATTTAGAAATTGCTCCACATGTGGCCCCAGCTCATGCAATTGAGCCCTTGACCGCATCCTGTAAAACAGGGCAGCGCCTGTTTCCTGGGAGCTCTACCAAGTCGTCTCCAAGTGCTTTTAATTTACCAATATAACTAGTGAGATGTTCCTGCTGCGTCCTTGCGCCGTGCCTCCCAGGAGAACAGCTTGTCAGGGTGTTAAAAAGATGCCAGTGTGCTTCTGTGAAGGGCTTCCTATGGACAATGATTTGCACATCCCAAAGAAAAGTCCTTCTCGGATGACACGTGGAACATTGCAGCTATGTCCGAGGCTGATGGTTATTTTCCACATAAATGGAATTATATTTGCCTTCAGCAACATTGGCCACTGGGACTTCTTTCTAAAGCTGGCAGCGCTTCCAAGTCTCTAAATAAAGTGACACAGACCTGAGGTGAAAGCTTGGGGTGGAAAGCAAATAGAGATGTTCTCATGAGAAGGAGCAGACAGGGTGGGTTGTGATAAGATGGCTACAATGGAAGAAAATGTAGAAAACCAGAGGGTCTCATGTGGGAGTCCCACTGTGGTCTCATGAGTGGCACTCAGTGTGTGTTGAAGGCTCCTATAGATCCCTGTTAAACTGGGCAACAAAAGGTTTTGCCTGTTAGTCATCCCAGAGAATGAGTCACAGCCAGTGGGAAAGGCGATGCTCCTTCAGCAGCACCACAGAGCTCTGCTGCAGAGATCTGCCTCTCCTGTGGAGGGGCACGGGCTGGTGTTGGGGAAGATGAAACAGGAAAGCCTTATAAATATGATTGTCTGGCAAAAGATTGTAAGAATATAGAAACTATAAGCGAGATTGAAATGAAAGCAAGCTTTGAGATACCTCAGTTACTGAACAACTGGAAAACAATGGTGTGGCTGGCTGAAGGTAATCCCCTTTTGATGGAACAACACCCTCTGCTTGCAGACAGGTCCAAGAGTCAGAGCAGACCCTACAGCTTGGCAGAAGGGGCCCAAAGAGGAGTTTTTAGGGTTTAAAAAGTAACACAGTATGGTAATGTAATGATTCTTATAGGCTGTATGTAAATGCTGTAGGATTTGTATCTTGTACTAGATTGGTTAGTGAGAATTAGAATATTCAACACAGAAGAAGATTTATTGTATTGTAACGGGAACCTCGCTCTCTTGCCCCTTTTACTCTCTTACCTTTTTACTCTCTTACCCTCTCATCCTCTCTACCCCTCTCTTCTCTCAGGCTGGGAAGTGATACAAGGCTGGGAGGTGACACAGGCTGTAAAGTGACATGGGCAGTTGTCACGCTCACCCTCTCCTGCTCTTTCAAGGCACATCTGGCTGCTCAGATGAGTGTGTGCAGCTCAGCCACACATGTCTGTAGTCCATTGGAGTGTGGATTTGGGGGACGCAAGGTGTCTGCCCTTTTTTTAGGTCGAGCTGAAGCTGTCAGTGATATATCCAGGGCAAACCCCAGGGAGTGGATGTGCAGGGTGGTGAGGGGTGAGTCCCCCTGGGTGCTGTGGGTGTTTGTGCTGAATGCAGATGGTGGAGCACTGACTGCTCAGCATCCCTGACTGCTGAGGAAGGTGCAGAACAGGCATCTCCTCGCCACATCTCTGTTGGGCAGGCCGATCCCACTGTCCATCAGTAAATTGGCTCTTTTCCAGTGTGGAAAGCCTGTGCTGTAGTGCTGGGACTCTGGGCCTCAGCTCCTCATGAGACTTTCTGTGTGAATGAGAGCAGGTGTCAGACCAAACCGCACAACAGGCTCAGAGCAGTGGGTTCAGAGGGAGGTGTTCTCCTAGCAAATCCTGGGAAGGGACTTGTCCAAATCCTATCCAGGCTATTCAGCAAGATCAGGAAGCCCATCCTGTCAAGCAGGGGCAACCCTCCAGGGCCAGGAATGGTTGTCACTTCATGAGGTTGGTCACCAATGCAGTAAGAAATGTCTGCTGTACTTTCCAACAGAAAGATTTCCAGACTGCAGTTCAACAAGGTGAAGCTTGAAGATGCTGGGGAGTACAGCTGCGAAGCCGAGAACGTTTTAGGGAAAGACACCGCCAAAGGCAGCCTGAATGTGAAAAGTGGTAAGTGAAGAAGCCAGCAAATGTCTCGAGCTGTCTGCCATTCCACAGAAAGGCTCTGCTCATGGTCTGTCTTGTATTTTGTTTCATGCTTTCAGGATATCGAGTGAAACAATCTTGGGAGATAAGAAAAATGCAGCTTAGCATAAATATTTATCTTTGTTATCTGTCACTGGCAATGTGGTTAATTTACATTTTAAATAAACTTACAGTCTATGTATTTTTTTTTTAAAAAGGGGTAAGGAGGAAAGAAAGCTGGTGGGCTTGATGTTTTCATTTTTTAAAGAATTTCTGAGAAGCAAAACTCACCAGAAGACAAGTAATTAGACCATAGCTTTGTGATGAGTGAAGTTGCTTCTGGTTTTCATCCTAGAATGTGTGCTCCATCTCTTAGAGCTCAGCGGATGGAGTCTGAGGTTAGGTGGTTTTATTATTATCTTGGTCATAATAATTATATTGCTTAACACGCTGGTTTGGATGCACCCTCCGGCTCAGAAAGTCCCTACAGTGGCTGCCAGAAGCTGGGAGGGCACAGCTGGGAGGGGGTGACTGTGTTTCCTAAGCTCTTCCTCCTGCCATTCACAAGGGGCACTGTGGCAGCCCGGGCTGTGAGCTGGGCTCTGCAGCCTTTGCTGGGATCCAGGATTTTGTTCTCATCCCATGTGAAGGAAGGTAGCTTGCTCCTGCTGCTTTCTGGCAGTATTTTCTCTCTTACTTCAGTGTGTTTGCCATCCTGAATCTTTTGTTCTGTGGAGCTTCAGCATCACACAGCCTCCCCCTGCCTGCTCAGTCCCAGTGCTGGCAGGGTCTGCAGGAAGGCCACCCTTGCTCACACCTCCCTGCCTTCATCCTCCGTGTCTGTGAACTCAGCCCTGCTGCTCTGCTGGGGTTATTTCCATTTCTGACAGGAAAGGTGTCCCCAGTAAAAAACTGAGGCAATGATCTCATTTTAAATTTCTTGCCTCACTCTCTGGCTGTCTCACGTCACATTAACTACTCCTGTGTGATGGGAGCTGCATGTGCAACCTCCCTTCCCACTGTGCAGCCATCAGAGCCCTGTCTGCTGCTCTGCTGCCCCTTCCCCAGCACCAGAAACCCTCCCACAGGAGGAAGAGAGAGGTTGAGCAGTGCCAGTGCCTGCTGCAGGGCCCTGACCTGCACACCTGGTAAATGCACAGCAGGGAAATGCACACAGGGAAATGCACACCAAGGAAATGCACACAGGGAAATGCACACCTGGCCACTGTAGGGCAGGCAGCACCTGCCAGGGTGCTCAGGAAGCCACCCTGTGTGACAAGGACCCTCCCAGCAGGGATGGGCTCACTCCTGAGCTGCCCAGAAATGTGCTAAGACCTGAAAACCCACGAAAGACACCAAAGATCTCTCTGTGAATCTGGGGGTTCTCTGCCTGGACGATCCACGCTCTCAGCCTCGCCAACGTGCCCTTGGCTCGCTGCTCATCTGCAGGCACACCTTAGCACAGCAGGGCCATCTGAGCCCCGACAAGGGCAGCCCAGGTGATGCTGATCCCTGGAGGCTTTTGTGGCCCCGTCACCCCTTTTTTCACCTTTTTTCACCACTTTTTTTTCCCCTCTTTCCCCTGCAGCTACTCAGAGTTAAGCAGCCTTCCCCACTATGCAGGCATGTGCTCTCCTGGAGTATTCCTGTCCCCTCACTGCTCAGCCTTCCTGGGGCCTTGCAAACTTTCCTCACTTCTTCTGTGACACCTCTGAGTACAAAACTCCTCAGGGCACCTGAATCCACACATGTGTTGTCCCCTGTTTCTTCTTCCACGGGATCCTTAGCACTGATCCTGTTGTGGCTTCCATTGCAAAGTGCTCTTTGCTCTATTCCAGCACCACTTTTCCGTTTCAGAAAAGCAGCTTTTCAGCCATACAGATCTGCTGCAAGTCACCAAAACCACCACATCTTTGGAGAGAGTGGCTGCAGAGCAGAGACCCCTTGGCACTTAGGAAATGCCCCTCAGCCAAACCCTCCCCTCACCCCTCCTCTACAATTCCAGCATTTCCACAAAATTCCCAGCTCAGAAATAAATGCTTTTGCATTGAGAAACTTTGTGAGGGTGTTAATTTCTGAGGAAATGCTTCTGGACTTAGTCAAAATATACTGCAACATATTGCAGATTTTATGACTTTGAAGTAAATTAGATGCTTTCTTAGAAAAATATCCCATTTCCCAGTTCTCATCATTGAATAGTCTAATGTTGATATCACATAGCCCTGAGGGCACAGTTGAGGTGGGACTGTTTCAGATTCTTTTTTCCTCAGAAAATTTCTAGGCATCTCCTCAATTTCCCTGCCACTTATCAAACACTGCAGAAAAAATCAAGTTGTACAAAAGAATTCTTTCTGCCTCTAGCTCTTTGTGGTGGTCTGGCAGGGTGGTCAGGCTCCTGGGGCTTCCTCCTTTGTGCATCCAGAGGGTGTGAGGGACTTCTCCAGAGATGCTGGTGCTGCCAGCAGGGTTGAGCAGAGCATTCTGTGGGCATTGGGGTTCCCAGTATCCTGGTTCAAAAAGAGGAAATAACTCCCAGTGCTTGTCCCCCCTAATCCTGGGGTCCTTCCTTCAACTGTTTCCTGTTCCTCCACCTCTGGTCCAAGCATTAATTTGTGCTGCAGAACCTCACGTGGGATGGAGGCTCTTCAGAAAACCCCACCTTTTCTTAAACCCCACATTTTCCCCACTACCACATCCTGCCATCCCATCTTTGCACTCTTGTGGCCATCAGGGCTAAGGAAACCTCCCACATTTTCACTCATCTCCTGCCAGGTGAGCCCTGAGCCATCTCTGCCTCTTCATTGTGACACGAGGCCCTTCCCAGCGAGGGGACACGGTGCCATCCCCTGCAGGGACACTCTTGTCCTGCCTCTGGCACCCCAATCCATGCCCTGCCCAAAGCTGCGCTGACACTTGGCAGCCCCAGCCTGTGCCCCCAGCAGCACCTGCCCCTCTGCTCCTCCCCACAGTACCTAAGCCCGCCCTGCTCTGCTCAAAGGAGATTATTTTGTTCACTACTTTCTTACCTTAATTTCCCCAGGAACAACGAAAGCACCACAAGTCTTACCAGCCTCAGAAACTAAAATAGTTGTTATGGAAGAAGAGTGTAAGTACCTCTCCCCCACTCCCCCCATACAGCTGCTTTCCCCTGATTTGTTTGCTATTATGAGACATTTTGCATAAATGCTTTATTGCCTCCTGGAATCTTCTTTAATCACTCCTTCTGTCTGATTTTTCCCAAAGCCACTGGTCTTTCTTTCCCTAGATCTTTTAAAAAAATCTGATTTATATTGCTGGTGTCTATCTTGGAGAGGGAGAATTTGATAATTATTGCAATGGCAGCTTGAAGAGCATGCTACTTAAAATTGCAGCTGAAGTTCAAGCACTCCCAGCTCTTTCAGTACATGGAGTTATTGGTATTTGCAAGATGTGCTTGTTATGGCCTTTGATTTAGCAGGGTTTTCTTTTATGACTTTGCTTTTGTGTTTGGGATTTTTTTTGAGGATAGTTGATCAAACTAAAGCAGGCTGTAGGAAGTACAAGAAAAAAGACAAGAGTCTTCTTAGCATAGGTAATAAGAAAATTGCAGAAAATCCATCCATGCCCTGCCATCCCATTTTTTCCCGAGTCTCCAGAAAGCAAGAACAGATTTCCCCAAATCCTTAATTTGATTTATTGTGGCTGAAATGCTTTTTAGCATTCCCTCCTACTCAGTTGTCCCAAAAGCAGTAGAAAATGGGCACAGAGCAATAAAAACCAAGGAGGGGATACAAGTGTAGATTAGAATCCTGGTGCCTGGACATTGGCTCAGCAATTCCTGGTGGAGGGTGTTTGGTCTGTGTCAGGGGGTCTCTCCCCACTGGGAGCCACCAGGATCCTGGCAAAAGCCCTGGGAAGGCAGGAGCAGGCAGGGATTTTTATTTTTGTGTGTTTCCATCCCAGCTGCAGATGCCCAGAGCTGAGAGTACAGCTGGCTGTGCCTCCCTGTTGGCAGTTCTGCTCTGCAGATTTTATGGGGATGTTTCCTCCTTTAAAAGCTCAGTCTTTTATGAATTTAAAGGAAATCTGATTGCAGCCACAGCAGGCACTGGCCAGGTATTCTTTAAAAGCTTTTCTGATTAGAAAACTGCACTTAAATTGTGCTCTTTGTAGTGCTTAGCCTTGCACTGCACTAGGGATGCCAAGCTGAGATGCAGCATCATTAATGCCATGGCCACATCATCCTTCCCCAGGATTTTCCCTTTGCTTTCACCAGAAGAGATCCATGCTACTTATTTGCATCATATTAGATTAATTTTATTTTCTTAAAAGCCAAATCTCAGAAAGGACACATAGAAATTTCCCCTTTTGGAAAATTTCTTTGCTCTGTGGGTGGATCATCACATTCTTTGTTTTTCCTAATGATGGGAAGAGATGGCACAGTCCCCACAGTTAAAGCTGTAACTCACTTTTTCCTTCACATTCCTTTTTTGCAATATCTCCCAAGTGTTATCTGAATAACTCAGAATCTCTCTGATTTTTATGGTGATGGATGTTTTATCAGAGAATTGCACGTGTGCACAGCATATGGGGAGGTGATGAAGATATTGTGGGGTGGGATGATCTGGAGAGCAGACAAGTATCTCATTCTTGTAAAAGTCTTGCATTTCTTTTCAATATCTATAGTCAGAGTCACCTGTAGGTTGTCCCTACTCTTGCTGTTTCACTGAAATCTTGTAAATCACTTGCTGGATTTTAAACACTGATGCCCCCAGTACCTGGTTTGTGAATAGCAGGAGGTTCCACTCAGCTTCATTTGTGCTGCAGTAGCCTCATTGGTGGTGAAAATGTTAAATGAGACTTTGTTTTGTGCTTGTCACAGGCTGAGCCTGTGCAGTTGGGTGGCCACAGTGGCTCAGCTCACAGGCAGGAACTTGCAGGGGTGTGGAAACTCGATCCTGTGCCCTGACAGGAAGGTCCTTTCTGCTCATTTCAACATCAGAGAG